TGCACTCCAGTCTGGGCGACCGAGTGAGACTCCAACTCAAAAAAAAAAAAAAAACAAACTTATACTTGCCTGGGTGCAGTAGCTCACACCTTTAATCCCAGCACTTTGGGAGGCTGAGATGGAAGGACTGCTTGAGCCCAGGAATTTGAGACAAGCCTGGACAACACAGCGAGACCTCATCTCTGCAAAAAAAATAAAAAATTTCCCCTGGCGTGGTGGCACGTGACTAGTCCCAGCTACTCTGGAGGCAGGCAGAAGGATCGCCTGAGCCCAGGAGGTCAAGGCTGCGGTGAGCCATGATTGTGCCACTGCACTCCAGCCTGGGCAAAAAAGAAAACAATCACTCTCTTCCTCTTCTCTCCTCAATTTATTATTATTAGTCCTCATCTGGCACATATATAGCTTTGGGTAGAAGATATGTAGCTATAGTGAGGACTCCCCAGGGGACAGATGCTGTGTGACCACTCAACAGAAGCAACTACCTTGTCAAGATTTACTCCTAAGCCTATCCTGGATAGAGCCCACAGGCAGGAAACAAGTGAATGTATTCCTTGTCTTCAGAAAAGTATATTTATGCTCATTCAAATGTGCTAGGCACTGGCCATAAAGAATACGTTAGTATTCATCCATAATTCATGCCTGCCATGTGCCAGGAGCTGTGCACAGACAGTGCAGCAAGACCATTTCGCAAAGCAACTGCAGTCCAGTGTAGGAGACAGGTGACACTAGGAAATATATGATGAGTAGAGACACGAAGTAGGAGTCAGGTACCGAGAAGGCGTCAAATGCAGGGGAGAGGATAAAGAAGAAAAAAATCATGGCCTTCGCGGCAACTTGGGTGCAGTTGGAGACCCTCATACTAAGGGAACTATCCAGTCACATGAGCACAAGGGAGGGATCAGCAGTCCAGGGGAGGGAGGAGGGAGGGAAGAAAGGAAGGAGGGAAGAAAGGAAGGAGGAGGGAGGGGTCACGTGACCTCACAAAGGGTACCTGGGTCACCACCAGGGGGAGTAAGGGCCAGCTAGAAGCGCAGACTTCACCTGCATACAGTCTACTTGTGTAGTTAATTGTCACTTGATCCCGATATCTCTATAATAAATTTATTTTATTTATTTATTTTTGAGTTGGAGACTCACTCCATCACCCAGGCTGAAGTGTAGGGGCACGCTCACAGTCACCGCAGCCTCAACCTCCTGGACTCAGGCGTTCCTTCCTCAGCTTTCCTGGAACCACAGGCGCATGCCACCACGCCCGGCTAATTTTTTGAATTATTGTAGAGATGAGGTCTCATCAAGTTTCCCAGATGGGTATCCAACCTGAGGCTCAGGCAATCCTCTCTCCTCAGCCTCCCAAAGTGCTGGGATTATAGGCTTGAGCCACCGTGCCCAGCCAAATTTGTTTTTTAAAAAAAGAAAAAAAGTTAAAATAATGTAGAGGATAGGAAGCCTTCCTAGAGGAAGTGATACCTGTAGCCACAACTACTTGGGGAGCTGAGGCTTCAGAAGAATTACCTGAGCTCAGGATGTCGAGGCTGTGGTGACCTGTGATCGTGCCATTGCACTCCAGCCTGGGCACCCCAACTCAGAAAGAAAAAACAAAAAACACCTGTAATCCCAACGCTTTGGGGGGTGGAAGAGAGAGGATTGCCTGAGCCCAGGGGTTCGAGATCAGCCTGGGCAACTTGATGAGACTACATCTCTACAATAAATCAAAAAAGTAGCCGGGTGTGGCGATGTGTGCCGAGTGACCGAGGTGGAAGGATTGCCTGATGCCCAGTTAATTTTTTGTATTTTTATTTTGTTTTGTACAGTCCAGGTCTCACTTTGTTGCCCAGGCTGATCTTGAACTCCTGGACTCAAGCCATCCTTCTGCCTCTGCCTCCCAAAGTGCTGGGATTACAGGCATCAGCCACCACTGAACCTGGCCCAATATTTTTCCATCTCTGTGCCTTACCTCCAGAGTCCATGCTGTATCTTCTCTGGCTTACTTTGAACCACATAGCACTGTAGAGTCTTCATGTAAAGGGCCCAGGACCTAAGGATCTTTTCCACCTACTTTAAAGTTCTTCAAGAGAACTCTCCGGGCTTGTCAACAGTTTTTTCCTCCATATAACCTTGTAACGGTTTTCTTGCCTGCTGTCCAGGTGTTCCCAACAATTCACACTGCTTGCCTAGAAAGAAAGCCTTTCCTTCCTTGTGGGTCAGGTTTTTTCTCTTTGATTTACCAAATATCTTCTAAAAATCTTCCCACCGGGAAGTCTGCCTGGATATGCAGGATGCTTTCAGCTGTGTGCGACGGAAGAACCGACTCTCAAGCTGGCTTAAACACTAAAGAAAACTTGTCTCATGTCACTGAAAGATCAGAGGTTGAGTGGACTTTAGGGCTGGCTTCAGGTGTCCTTAAGTATCTTGGGTCTTCCCATCTCTCCTCTGCTGTCCTCAGTATGTTTGCCTTGCAGTTGTGCTGCTCTTCCTCACGGTCAAAAGGTGGCTGCAGTGTGTGCCTGTAGTCTCAGCTTCTCGAAGGCAGAGGAGGGAGGAACATCTGAGCCCAGGAAGTTGAGGCTGAGGTGAGCTATGATGGTTCCACTGCACTCCAGCCTGGCCAACAGAGTGACACCCTGACTAAAAAATAAAAAAAGCGCGGGGGGCGGGGTGGGTGTTGCTGCAACAGTTCCAGCCTTACATTCACATACCACAAAGAGGAAAAGATCCAGCTGGGCTCGGCGGCTCAGCCTGTAATCCTGCGCCTTTGGGAGGCTAAGGTGAGTGGATTGCCTGAGCCCGCTTCAGACCCGCCTGGGCAGCGAGACCTCATCTCTGCAATAA